GGCGATTCTCTATGATACTATATGCAAATAAGTATACTACCAAGACCAGTAAACTATAATCTCATTCCATTTCATTCATTTTACAGCTGTTTTCGTAGTCCACACGCACACACTTCATCTACTAAAACTCCTTTTTCAATTAACAGCAGTTATGATTAAATTCAACTTTATTTAATCAAAAATACAGGCGGTGAACCACGTCTCTTGCTTGAAATAACACACTCTTCACTTATTTCTGTTCTGTGTGATTAGAAACGAGAATGTGGCGAAAATCCTCTATCCTCTTTCTTGCATCGAACCCGCCAATTTCGTTCTAACTAAAATTTTTATACAGTCGTCTACACGCTTGCCTCTTAGTTTTACCCATACAACGTGAGCTACAGCTGTTACATCTCTAATATGATAAATAACATCGGACTTTAGATCATTTCGCCTTTTATTCTCAAAATTAAATAAATTCTAAGCTGAGCACCAGTTTAGAATTTATTTAATTTTAGGGATAAAATACGAAATTATTTAAAGTCCGATGTTATTTATCATGTTAAATGTAAGAACTGTAGTTCACGTTATATGGGTAAAACTAGGAGGCAAGCGTGTAGACGACTGTATGAAAATTTTAGTTAGAACGAAATTGGCGGATTCGATGCAAGAAAGAGGATATTCTATCATTTGAATAAATGAATAAGCAGTTTTTGTTGATTCTGGTGTTGGAAAATCTAATGTTTTGCTGACATTTGTATTGTTGGCTTAATTCCATTCCGTGTAATTCTATACCCCAGGTAATCCAACTCTTTCCTTGCTAACTTACATTTGCCAGGATTCAGTTTAACATTTGCTTTTTCTAGTGCTGTTAATACCATAGCAAGATGTTGGATATATTTCTCGAAGATCTTTGAATAGATGGTAACATCGTGTAGGTACACCAATGTAATATCCCATCGTACTGCTCCTACCACTGAGTCGATGACAAGATGAAATGTTGAGAGTGCGTTGGATAAGCCAAATGGTAGTACGTTAAATTCATATAACCCATCAGTTGTGACAAATGTTGTTTTCTCCTTGTTCTCGGCGATTGGAATTAGCCAGTAGCCAGATTTTAAATCTAATATTGTAAAATAATTTGATCCAGCCACTTTATCGGCAATATCATCAATCCTTAGAAGTAGGTATACATCACGTTCTGTAATTAAATTTGGTTTCCTGTAGTCGACGCAGAAACGTGGACTACCACCTTTTCCTTGATAATAACAACTGGTGATGACCATGGACTTGAACTTGGTCGAATGATATGCTTTTCTAACATTTCTTTAACTTGTTCATTAATAATCTTTCTCTCCTTTTTGCGACTTTTCAATATGGATAGGACTGAATTGGCTGATGATGTGGTTGGACTGGAACAGAGGTGGCAAGTCCGGTCATTTCCAAGTCCAAGTCTAACAGAAATTTTTTTTGTCAAGTCCAAGTCCAACGCAAGTCCAAGTTGAACTTAGAGTTGATGCGCTTCATAGCAGCTTTTACACTATACATCACGTCTTAATCATATATGACGAGTAAATAAATTTTATCCATTCGTTGATCCATGTTGGACAAAAAAGAAGCATTAATAGATTAGGTATTAGGTTATACTCATCTCGTTGTCGGATGTAATAGGTTTTAACTCCTTGGACTTCAAACGGACTTGATAGAAAAATTCCCAAGTCCAAGTCACGTCCAAGTCCATTGACCCTCAAGTCCCAGTCAAGTCGTAAAGCACGATGAACCATTTTTGTGATGACAGACCGATTGTATGATATGGGAACATCGGAACTCCATTTTAAAATTAAACTAGTATCTTTACAAAAAATAGTGGTAACATATTTAGTATTTCAGCTTATGATTTTAACATCGAGAAATGAAATAGAATTAATCATTTCCGTTTCACATGTGAATTCAATATTTAGATGGAAATTATTTAGAATTTTAAGAATATCATCAGTTGGAGACTGTGGATTGATAAAAGTGAAAGTATCATCTACGTATTTGCCAATATTTTATAGCTTATTCGCTAGTTCATCTTCTAAATGTATCACAAAGATATCAGGGATGATAGGATCTAGTGGTGATCCCGTTGAAACACCATCTACTTGTTCAAAAAGTTGTCCGTTAAATGAAGAATGCGTCGAAGCAGTAACAATCTCAAATAGAGTACGAAAATCTTGTCTGCTGATACATTTTTCGCAGATTTTATCTCTCCTTCGATGATTGCACTTATCACATTTATCATATAATTTGTCGAGAATCAAATTAATTGTGCATTGCAGAGGAACTTAAGAATGATATGAATACAACAACTGATTTTACGGGAAAAACTGTTCGTTTATATACTGGGGAGAGATTTTGCTGGGAAAAATTCATGCAAAGATAGGGAGAGGGAAAACCACGTAGCGTGTTACGTAGCGTTTTATACGTAACTTGTATCCTTCTTTGTGTCAGTGCCAATAATGAATTATGTTTTCATATTTTATTAACAAAGATATTTACATCAGAGAACGAGAACATTACGTCAGAGAATGAGATTTTCTACGCTTCCTAACACGCCCATTCCTACAAGATGAGCGTCCCGCTCATCTACTGTTTTTTCTCTTTTTTTTAATCGCGCGTCTTGAGTTTGATGCTGTAAGCCTCTTGATGGTTGGATGTTGAGACGCCCGTTGGTGGCTAATTTCCATCATAAAAGTGTTGTTTCATCCCCAATTATAACTATCGAACCAAATGTCAACTTGAGTGATGATGTCGTTGTGATGATATTCGATGTTGGGATGCTGGTTAGGATGCTTGTGGATTTAAATTGGACTGATTCGTGAAACATGTGCTTTTTCTATATGTCCATCATTGACATGTTTCACTACATAATTCAATCGTCCTTCTTGCTTCATGACTTCAAATGGGCCATAGAATTTTGGAGAAAATTTGCGAAGATTTTTAGCCATCATTTGTTTGAGAAACACCTTCTGTCCAACTTGTAAAATCATATCTCTTCGTCCTGTGTCAAATCTTGTCTTGTAGATGTCTTGTTGTTGTTTGACACTGTATCTTGCTGTTGATTTGGCTTGATCGAGGAATCGACGAAGTTGAAGGTAGTAGTCATTGACGGCGGATAATGCCACGATGCCTTTTGGAATATCAAACGGAAGAGTGGGATCACGACCAAACATTAGTGTGAACGGAGCCATTTTTGTTGATTCCTGTCTGGATGTGTTGTATGCAAATGTAATGAATGGCAAAAATTCATCCCGATCAGATGGCTGTTGATTAACATATGCACCAATTGAAGCTGCAATTGTGGCGTTCATCCGTTCGGTGAGACCATTCGTTTGCGGATGGTAAGTTGTTGCTTTGATATGATGAACACCGCATCTTGAAGCCACCGCTTCAAATAATTTAGCCATGAAATGACTTCCGTTGTCCGTTATCAATTGTTGGGGTACACCGAATTGTAGGATGACTTTTTCAACGAGGAATTTGGCAGCAGACTCGGCTGTACAATCAGGTAAAGCACAGGTGATGGCATACTTAGATAAATAATCGACGCACACCAGGATGTATTTGTTGCCCGTGGTTGAAATTGGAACGGGTCCAATAAAATCAAGTCCCATCAAATCAAGGATTCCACTTGGTTGTTCAATTGGTTTGAGGAGTCCAGCTGGCTTGGTTCTCGAGATCTTGAATTCATGACATAGTTGGCAGCTTTTGACATAAGATTTGATGGATTTGAACATGCCAGGCCAAAAATATCGATAACGGATTTTATACCATGTTTTCACCACACCTAAATGACCGGCTGTTGGATGGTTGTGATAGGCTTGAAGCAATGGTTGAATCAAATTTGGCGGGATATATGGCAGCTTCAGGATTGATTTGCCACGATGAATGATTTTGTGGATCACATCATTTTGTAATTCATACTGGTCCATTTTAACACCAGCAGCCAAATCAAAATGCATTTTAGTCATCTTTACATTTTTCAATTGTTCTTCTTTGATTTTGGTTGAATCAAAAATTGGAGGGGAGATTGATGGATTTGCTGTGATGGTACAAACTTCATCTAATTTCTGTTGAACTAGAGTATCCGGTGGTGACATTGGATAACGCGATAGACAATCAGCAACACAATTGTGTTTTCCTGCCACATGCTTGATGGAGAATTCGTAATCTTGTAATTGCAACGCCCAACGATCAAGACGGCCGTTTTTCGATGTTTGTTTGTTTAGCCAGCAAAGTGGATGGTGGTCTGTTAACAATGTGAAATGCTGACCATATAAATAAGGACGCAATTTTGTAATGCACCACACCAACGCTAGGCATTCACGTTCAACATTACTGTATTTCTGTTCAGCCGTCGTCATTGTTCTGGAGAGAAATAATATTGGTCTGTCACCTTCCTCTGTAATTTTGTGAAGAACACCACCAATACCATAGCCGCTAGCATCAATTGATAGTTTTAGCGGAGATCTGCCATCATGATAAGCTAATAAGGGGTATTGAGACAATTTGTTCTTCAGTGTATCGTAGGCCAACTGGCATTCTTCAGTCCAAACAAATTTGGCGTTTTTGTTTTTGAAGACATTCAATGGGGCAGCAATATTAGAAAATTTCGGGATGAATCGACGGTAAAACTGGGCCATCTGGATGAATGAATATGCTTGTTTAGCTGTTGTCGGAGTGGGAAAATCAATGGTCTTCTTTACATTGAATGTTGTGGGCTTGATTCCTTGTGGCGTAATTCTGAAACCTAAATAATCTAACTCTTTCTT